TCTTATATCAATAGAATAATAGCTTTTTACTGTTATGTTGCTTACGAGAATCAACTTAGAGTAGCTTTTTACTTATAAACCACGTTTACTAGGGAACAAAGATATTGTTTGTTTGTCTAGGATTATTCTGGCTAATCCCCGAAACAGTCACGACCAATTTTAACAGTATTTTTACTGGCAGATAGATAGCTAATGCCTTTTGCCTAATGCATTTTATTATCAGACAAAACCACAGAAAACCTCGGACGGGCCTAGCTAGTTTTACAAAATACTTTACAAAGGACCCATTACAACGTCTTGCCCTGTGGAAACAATAATAAAGACCATGTTTTAGATTTTAAATTAAAACATTTAGGATGCACATGCACCATGGTAGGGAATAATTGACCACGACGTTGCCATTAGAGAAGTTAAAAATGAAGTAATCTATAGAGATAAAACTTACCGTAAAATATTGGACTCCACAACGGACCACGACTACAACGATTCAAAACTACTAATAAATGTCTAGAGATAGATGACAGTTAAATAGACAGAAGTAAATAACAATAAAAATATTTTAGAAAAAATGGAGGATTATTTAAAGAAACATTCAACGTTGAGTTAGCTGTAATTGTGATTTTCATCGCGAGACGTCAATTATATTATTAAATTCGTTTATGACAATTTATTACCGTCATTTAACAGGTGATAAGATCACTATGTCCTAATCAAACGTAGTTATAAAGATATACAGAGAAGGTATTACCGCTAAAAAATATATTCACAACATTCTTTAAGGCTGGCTTACACACCTACAAGTCCGTTATCGTATCATGTAATACCACTTCAAAAGACAAGAGCTTGTATCGACCGAGCGCTAATAACGACGACCTTAGTTACTTTGTAACGAATGTAAACTAGTCCTAAGAGTCGGGGCATTGTCTGCCTCCATTAAAAATATATATACATGTATGTATGTATACGACTATATAGGCTTCTAATCATAATCTCCTTTATTTCTATTTAATCATTCTCTCCAGAACTATTATACTATCCTCATTTTAATTTTCACTCATAATTGCCTCTATACCATTTGTATGTTGAGACCTTGTGAGGCACAATGTAAGTCTGCACACCTGCTTATCTGCCGCGAAGGAATTACTAGTTTTAGTCTGAAGCTATAAATCAACGTCATAAAATATGTTGGTACTATCAGACAAACGTGTTTAATCTAAGTAGTTATATTAATTAATTAATCGTGTAACAAATAAAATATAAAGTTGTAAATTAGTTTAGATTTATTAAAAGCGATTATTAACGGTAATAGATTATTAGATGTAGTAATTACAATTTATGAACTATTATTTTAATCAAGCTAATATAATGTAATTTTATTTGGTGTTAGGAAAAGTGTATTTAGGTCAGTTTACCCGTCGTTCACGTTAATAAATATCATTATGCTTATTTGAAAAATGGAAATCAGTAATAAAGGTGAAATTTTTAAATTCGGCTATAATTTTTTGAGAAATACATCTCAAACCTGAATGAATCCTTAAAATATTATTTACAACGCATTGTTTTCTCAAATAAATAAAACTCTTTTTTTATAAAATTCACTTGATAAAATTTTCGCTCAAACATTAAGTCTCAGGGGTGACATTTCAGAGTTCGATGCTCCCCATGCTCAACCTGTTCGCGAAATGATTTCGAAATAATTCAACTTAAATAATCCCGAATTTCGATCGGATTTCAGTACGTTTCGATAACAATTTATTTCAGACTAATACTTTTAATTAAAGTCCTTCATTTACTTTGATTTCTTTGAAGTAGATTTTCTTTGTAGGATTCCGTACTCAAACGATTCTTTTTATCACGACAGCAAAAAATCAAAGGCTTAAAATTTCACCGTAAGTAAAATGGGACTACACGATGACCGAGCTTTGCTCGGTTTTTTTTTGATAACGCCATCTTGTTGTGCCTTTAAAGCGGTTAGTTGCCCTCAATTAAGAAAAATAGTATTATTATTCGCCAATAGATGTCGGGAAGAGTTGATTATTGAAAACACGAATAAAACAACATTTTCGGAAAATAAATCGTAGTTAGATCGATTTATCGCCCCCGAAATCCCCTGTATACTAAATTTTATGAAAGTCGTTGGAGCCGTTTCCGAGATTCAGATTATACAATTATATATTAATATACAAGAATTGCTCGTTTAAAGATATAAAATAGATGGGTAATCTCGTAGTTCGATATTTGTTATTTCTGTCTTTGAGATTCTTAAGTAAAAAGATTGTATTTTTTTAATTACAAAACATTTGTGATGGCATTACGCAACCGATCACATGGAAAGCAGATGTTTATATTGCGAGCAATAGAGATGCGTTATGATTTACCTATATAATTGCTGGTACGGCGCATTGTAAGACCGCCCCCCTATTGGATTGATAGTGATAGGTATTTCTGCCTGTTTCAGGCGCTTCTGTTTATTTATTTATTTTATTGCTTTGATGGGTGGACGAGCCCACGGCTCCCCTGGTATTAAATGGTTACCGATGCCCATAGACATCTACAACGTAAACGCTGCCACCTATCTTGAGATATGAGTTCTAAGGTCTTCGTTTTTACAGTAAAATGGCTGCCGCATTCTTCAAACCGAAACGTATTACTGCTTCACAGCAAAAATTAAGTTACGCAAATTATAATTTTGCGGGTTTGATTTTTATTACACGATCCTTCACCGTGGAAGTCAACTGTGAACATTTATTATGTACGTATTTGAATAGAGAAATTGGTACTTGCTTGCGGGATTCGAATACCGTTGCATCGTTAAATACGAATGGCCACGGCGATGACAAAAGGGAGTTGAAACTTCAATCTCATATCGGTCGGCGGATGGTTTGAATTAGAAAAAAACGGTACATCCTTGTGAAATTCATGTTAATCACAGCTGAACACGTCCTCTAACTAAATTGATTTCTAAACTTCATCCTGCTGCATTATCAAAGGCAGTCTACCTTGAATCACGCGATTAAAGTCCAATTGAGGCCATGAAATAACAGTTTTTTGACCTCTTAAACTGGAAAGTATGATTGATAGCACCAATGAAGAGTAACGAGTAAATAGACATATAATCCCGAATCTCCACTACTACTGCTACTGAGCTGGCGCTATGACCCCGAAGTGGGGCTTGGCCTCCGACAATAAGCTTTGCCACTCATCCCGGCGCTGCGCCACACCTTACCAGTCCGACACTTGGAGCTCACGTAAATTTCCTTCCACAGCGTCAGACCAGCGGTACTTGGACCTCCCTACGGGGCGGCGTCCCTCCGATACACCCGCGTACACCCATTTCACAGTCCGATCCTGCTCCATACGCACTACATGCCCGGGCCATCCAAGCCTCCGTGCCTTCATCTCCCCCTTCCGTGCCTTCATCTCCCCCCGTGCCTTCATCTCCCCTCTCATCCTGAATCTCGCCAATCATTAAAAAAACACTACCTTTTATGGCCCAACCGGTCAACACGTGTAAAATGCGTTCGTTCAATTCATGAACTGGAACGCTTAATGGGCCACGACGCGATTATTGGTGTCCGACCGCTTGCTTACCTGCGCGTTGTTCCCGCTAATGGAATCGCTTATTTTGATGAACCAAAGTGCTTTTCGAGGCTAGTACTATAATGGGCGGCAGGATTTTTTGGAAAGTGTAATTTACATCCCTTATCTATTTAATGTTATATACGTTATTGTCGTTATAATTTTGAAAAAGTCATTTTTTTATTTTTTTGTTGTTTAGTTGGGTGGGCGAGCTCACAGTCTACCTGGTCTTAAGTGGTTAATGGTACGGTACAACGTAAATGCGCCACCCACCTTGAGATATAAGTTCTAAGGTCTCAATTATAGTTACAACAGCTGCCCCACCCTTCAAACCGAAACGCATTACTGCTTCAGGGCAGAAATAGGCAGAGTGGTGGTACCTACCCGCGCGGACTCACAAGAGGTCCTACCACCGGTAATTACGCAAATTATAATTTTGCGGGTTTGATTTTAATTACATGATGTTATTCCTTCACCGTGGAAGCTAATTTCAATTTCAAGTCAATTTTGCCAATTTAGTTTTTATCCAGCTATAGTGAAAGGTACATCAATAAGTGCATAGATTTCAGTTGTTGGACAAACAATTGTAATGTTCACTATTCTTACTGTTAACTAATTATCAGAGTATCTATTTAAGTATTCCTCTTCGAGTTTCTTCTCATATTTTCAATTCTGCCTACTTCGTCTTTCAAAATAAATCTGGCACTTAGTCCGAGTAAATTTGAAGATTTTTCTGTTAAAATGTTTTCAGTTACATTATTTTTAGCGGCTTTACTACTTTACTGACAAATATTCACTTATTTCATATGCTAGCGATCGCTAAAACGACCGTGAACATTTTGATGTAGGATGTTAGGTGTGTTCAACGATGTTCCATTTATGTTCTGTATGCAAATGTTTCTTTGTAACATATTTTTGCTTCACATGGTCATCTTCTAGGTCAGCATCCGCATATTTCCCGTCTCTTCGAAATTTTCTTACACTTGTCAACCTACAAGTAAACTACACCGTAATATTGCTAAGTTTTAAGCTTCACAAACCAAACTTATATGTGTGTTTTGTATTAATAACTAGTTTACCCGATAGACTTCGTAGTGCGTCAATCGATAAATAAGAGACTTAAACGTTTGTATAAGATAAACTTAAAGTATAAGTAAAGTATGTATAAGATAAACTTAAATTTAACTTAAAACAAACAAAAGGAATCCGTCCGACGGGGGACACATCAAAGGGAAAACAAAATTGTTATTATAATTTAATTCTTAGCATTTTCATATTTATCTACCTTTTAAACTTTCTCTGGACTTTCACAAATAATTCAAGACCAAAGTTAGCCAAATTGGTCCAGCCGTTCTCGAGTTTTAACGACACTAACGAACAGCAATTCATTTTTATATATATAGATTATCTTTGTCATATAGTTGCGGCCGTGCCGGCAGTCTAGCAGCCACACCCGGTGAGAAACTTCTAGAACTACTCCGGCCTTCCAGTGGCACTCCGCGACGTCATTCGACCGCAGCCTGCGCTCCGGCACAACCGCAACGACAGACAGGCTTCGTTTACTGCCCTTCTGATGCCTTACCATACTGCCCACCATCAAGGCTGGCGCCCCCTCGTCCAATTATACCAAAGGTAACCTTAAAAGCAACTAAATAATGCCTTGAAATTAATCATCAAACTAGCTTCAAATTTGAGATTTAGCTTTATGGGTTAAAGGTAAAAATAAATTGAATTTCTTGGCCAACAGGTGGCCTAAAGGATAAGACGTCCGGTGCATTTGTATCTAGCGATGCACCGGTGTTCGAATCCCGCAGGCGGGTACCAATTTTTCTAATGAAATACGTACTTAACAAATGTTCACGATTGATTACTGGTGGAAGACGTCTTGTCAGTCCGCACAGATAGGTGCCACCGCCCTGCCTATTTCTGCCGTGAAGCAGTAATGCGTTTCGGTTTGAAGGGTGGGGTAGCCGCTGTAACTATACTGAGACCTTAGAACTTATATCTCAAGGTGGGTGGCGCATTTACGTTGTAAATGGCTATGGGCTCCGGTAACCGCTTAGCACCAGGTGGGCTGTGAGCTCGCCCACCCATCTAAGCAATAAAAAAAACCTTTTTTACAGAATAAACCTTAAATTTTTTCACGGTTTTATAGCTCCAGCCACCGCCGCAGATCCAGCCGGTTATTCCACCGCAACCACCGCCCGTCCCGCAACGCACCGCGCCGGTCACGCCCGCGCCACTGCCTGTCCCCCCTCCGGCTCCACCACGACGGTCTTCTCCACAACCACCTAAACGAATCCCACCTCCGACACCACCCAGACCGGCAGCAACCTCTCCGTCGGCCGACCCCAACGGGAATCGCAAGGCAACGGTTCCGATGCTGCCACGTTTGGACTGTAACAAAAATCCTCAGCCAACAATCACCAAAAAACCGCCTCAAAAAATACCAGATACGCCCTTTACACCAGCACCCCCTCCTCAAAACAGCCAGTCGATCAAAAGATCGCCAAGCTCGGGGTCAAACATCAGCGTTAGACAAGACTCGAATGTGTCTTCGGACTCATTTAGCCAAACATCATCACCGTCGTACACCACAAAGACTATGGAAGCTCCCTTGCTACCCCACCAGCATGTGAACAAGAGTTTGAACGCAAAGATAGCGAGGGGACTATTGCTGAAAGAGCAGCAAGAGAAAGAGGCTGGTAACTCTTCAATTACCAAGAGCATGTCAACACCAGCGTCACTACAGACCATAGTTAGGTTTCAAAATGGAAGCAACATGTCCCTGCACCATCGGGTGAGTGAAAAATGACTTGGTTTTTTTAGTTTCTTTATTAAAATTCCAGCACTGCAAATTGAAAGAATGCTCTTATTATTGTACATGGAGAACTTTAAATTGTTTTCCGATGAATAGAATCACAAGGGAACAATCGGTTGAACTATGCTCAGTTTTTCGTTGTTAGCTGTCGTTTATTTTCTTCATAAGCCAAGGTGTGACACTATTCTGTGATTCTACCTGCGCGTCTTTTTTAAACTAAGCTTTTAAGAATATTGTGACACGTGTCTTATGTCATATATTTCTGTTATTTTGACTGTTATACATATTGTGTATGATAATTGGCCATAAATATTTCAAAGACTAGGAAATGACAAGCACTCTTTATGCTCGTAGTAGGTACTTAGTTTTTATTTTTAAGTACCTTATACATTTGCATATTATAAATAAAGTCTGTAAAAATAGTTTATTTCTAATATTCAGCGTGATACGTCAAACGCAACACATTATCCGTTGCTTTTATTACAAAAACCTATTTAAAAAAAATATAATTCTACAAATAGTAAGCATGTTCCAAAAGCACTCAGAAATTTGTTTTTAAGGAAATCTATATATATAAAAATGAATTGCTGTTCGTTAGTTTCGCTAAAACTCGAGTACGACTGGACCGATTTGGCTAATTTTAGTCTTGAATTATTTGTAGAAGTCCAGAGAAGGTTTAAAAGTTAGGTAAATATGGATATATATATAAATACGGAAATATAATAAAAATAACAATTTGTTTTTCCTTTGAGGTGGCCCGTCCTTTTGTTGTTTTAAGTTTATTTTATACAAAAGTTTAGGTCTTTTATTTATCGATTGAGGCATTACGAAGTCTGCCGGGTCAGCTAGTTAAAATATAAATTTATTTTCCTGATTTTTTCCGTTTACACATTCAAAAGGTTTTTTTTTTGTAAAATTCAATGGCAACCCTATTCCCTTTTAAAGCGACGTTTTCAATTAAATTTAAAAGCCGTACTCTAAACTATAATTCAATATCGGAGATGCATACAGAAAATTCCCAGAGTATAAACGCAATTTATTGTTTAACAGTGCTGTTTCTGTTACGCTCGCTTGAAAAACAGATTGATTAAATCTCTTGAACAAAAATAAAGTGTTGATATAAGGATATAAGTGTTATAATGCATCAAGAGGAAAATCAGTATATTATTGCATTCGATGTGGACTAGCTCACGTACCGATTAATTGGTGTTCAATATATTTAAAACTACTTTTACGGTTTTCACGGACGCCCATCACGTGCATCCGTGACCACAAAAATCGTAAAGTATTCGAAAAGACACAAATAAAATAATAATAATAAAAACGTGAGATTAAACCGTAAAAATATTTTAATTATATTTGCGATTCGCGGAAACCGAAGAAGTATTATTTTAAGTTCATATATTATGGCATACTCACAAAAAGAGTAACGTCAGTCATCTTCATATGATTTCGAAGTCTCAATTAAGTTGTATCTCTTCTTTAACACGTGTCCACCCAATGCCGAGTGTAGGACTTTTCGAATGCATCCCATTCTCTTCGGTCTCTTGCCTTTCACATCCAGCTCCTACCAAGCAATTTGACCAGGTCATTGGTCCAACTGGTTGGCTGTCTGCCCACGTTACGACGTCCAGTACGAGGTCTCCACTCCAGTACTTTTGTGCCCCACCGATTGTCAGTGCGACGGCATATGTGGCCGGCCCACTTCCACTTTTTCCGAGCAATCACTTTGGCTATATCAGTCAAACCAGTTCTTCTGCGGATTTCGGTATTGCACACTCTATCCCGTAGAGAAATTCCTAATATAGCCCGTTCCATGGCTCATTGAGTGACTTGCATTTTGGTCATAATTGGATTTTTGAGCGTCCTTGTTTTGGCCCCATTAAATTGTATAACTACTATTTAATCTATTATATTTAAATTATTATTAAATACGTCAATTGCATTGAACATTAATCGAGATTGTTAGCTACTAGCTAGCTGTCCCGCCTCGCGAATTAGCCTAAGTTGATATATCCGATACAAAAAATCTCAGAGATAAAACAAAATACTTTGAAGTCATGTATTTCAGCCGACAAACAGCGCGGATAATAATGCTTACACAAGCCAAGATTGCTTCGTGTGTTCTCCAAGATTGTTTTGCCGTCTCAAACGTAGACTTTTCAAAGCAAATAGTAAACACACTTGGTCATCTTGCGAGAAAAGAGAAACGTCTAGAGAAAAACTTTGAGCGACCATATTGCTTTGGTGTTTTGTAAAAGCGTCATTTGTAGTTTCTTACTTCTGTGGCTTATTTTTCGATGATAACATTAAATTTGTATGTTGCAGATAATGCGATGTAAGATAAGTTTACGTAATAAATATTATACTTTATAATTTTTGTCAATTCAATTATTAGGTGCGTGCTGATGTCTCAATCACTTGTACCTAATAAATTATTATAACCTAAAAATGCCGGTATCTCTAATATATCAGAATCAATGTTTGATTATATGTATTTTATACAGTACAGATAGTGAAGACAGGTTCAGCGCGGGTTCTTAAAATTTCCCACTAAGGCACAATAGATAGTGTGTAAGTTTCAATATTAGTACTTTGATGTGACGTCACGGTCACAGATGTTGGCTATTACGGACAATGTGAAGCGATCGAATATGTATAATGAAAACTGCGAGGGTAAAGGAATAATGTAGGTAGCAAAATTTTCAAATTTCAAATGTTGACATAATATAACCTCTTAGTCAAAACGAAAACTAAAAAGTATTTGAAACGTCAAAAAGTCTTTACAATTTAAACTTTACTTATTTAATTATTTTTTTTACTTCAATAACTGGGAACATGTCACGCACGGTCATCCGGCCTCAATTTAGGATTCTCTGTGCTATGGGTACCAGAGAATGATGATTATACTTATACACGTTCAAATGGTGGGGTTTTGAAGGGTGGGGCAGCCGTTGTAACTATACTGAGATCTTAGAACTTATATCTCAAGGTGGGTGGCGCATTTACGTTGTAGATGTCCATGGGCTCCAGTAACCACTTAACATCAGGTGGGCTGTGAGCTCGTCCGACAACCTAAGCAATAAAAAAAAATAGACACCCACAGACAAAGAGTAAATAAACCTGTTCATCAAATAATGTTGGCCCGATGTGGGAATCGAACCCACGACCGTCGGCGCAACCGTCAGGGACGCTAACTACAGCACCACTGACTGTCAGTCCAATTGTCAATAAAAAACGGAAAAATAAACCTTAAAAAAGAAGTTTAAAATTTTTCAAAACAGTTTTTATAATTACCATTCTTATTTCGGCGGTTAATAATTATTATTGTACAACGATAGTCGATTGAATTCCTTTGAACGTGTGCAGATGCTGCGGGACATACGCGGAGCCAGCAACGAAGCCTCCCCACACAAGTTCAGACTGATGCAAGTGGCACTCAACGCTGTAGCACTGTTAGCCATAACCGGCGCTCTATTCGCCTACTTCCGAGCCAATCCCGCAGTACAGGTAAGTTTAGTCCATAATAAAGATGCGAATCTAATTCGAACCCTACACTAAACTAAACTAAGCCCTACACTAAAAAAAAAAACTTCAGAGGTGTCAAGGGACACCCGGATGGAACGAAGTTCCTTTCGATTAATTAGTGAAGGAATTGTAATATTTTTTTTAAGTTATAATTATAAATTACGGCATTATGAAGAAGAAAAAAACAATACTATGAACTAAATTACTATTGTTGAAACGCTATCTCGAGAAACTGTACTCATTACGCGGACCAATCGGATACGAGCAATGTCACGCGATAAGCGCCTACACGTTGATTGGTCAGAATGACGGATCTAAAAAGTGTCGTGACAACTTTTCGTAAGAATTTTTTCCGTCTAGCCCCCTTTCACAACGCGCGATAAGGAACTTCGTTCCAAAAATCGAACCCTACACTAAACTAAACTAAACTAAACCTTAAAAAATATTTAAAGCTTACTATTCTTATGATATTTGAAGCGAAAAATTACCGATTCTAAATATCCTGCAAGACTTCGGAGCGTACCAATTTTCCGATGCCCACATAATTTATACAAATTCCGAATAACGATGTTTGGATTGTGCGTCTACTGATCAATATGGTTCGCTCCGTGAATATCTTTGTCGTTAAGATCGTGGCTTTGTCGCTTTATCGTTTTCTATACACTAATTTAGGAAACAGTAGATCGTCAATGTTTCCCAACTCTTTCAAAGATGTTGTCGAAGTTTTATTTGCATTGCTACGAATGCCACTTTGATACATGAATTCTAAGCTCAAACCGGACGCATTACTACTTGACAGTAGAAATACACAGGATGTTAAATATCTAGCCGTGTCAGCTCACAAGATGCTGTACAATCAATCTGTATTACAGTTCAAGTAAATGTATTAGCTGAATGTATCTATCTAGCAGGAAATATTTAAAAAAAAAATTCCTGAAAGCATCAGAACAGTTGCCGGCGTCTATGGAATAAGAAAGATGAAAATTTCCTACCCACAAATCACATAATTTTTCATGTCTATACTCACTAAATTAATTCTAACGCAACGTACACGATAATATTTCCATAAAGCCGTCCGAATCGCAAAGAAACCGTGAATCGGCAACCTTATTATCCCATCAAAATTCTTTCGTACAAACAGCTCTTTTCTTGTTGAACAAAACAATTACATTCACAATGTAAGTACTCGTGCATTGTAAGGCATCGTTGGAGTGGCAGTAATTATGTTGTTGCCTCATTGTGTTCCTTTATGAGTATACTCCAATTAACTGAGCACTGAAAATAAGTAATAGCGGTTCGTTTGAATCTAGGGAGGAGCGTTTTGTTTTTCAAATGATTTTATTGAAAGACCCGTTTGTTGGATAGCATTTTAGCTTCTATATAATTCAGATAATTTGTCTATTTAGTTGGCTTTAATTTTGATTAGTTAATGTTAATTTCGTATTTAGATAGACCGTCATTTTTACTTTAATGCACCAGTCGTATCATTGTCTACACTGACACTTTGGGTGCATCTTTGATTTGTTTCGTGCTTTGGTTTGGTTGGTACTTCAAACGGTGTGATCTAAGATATTATTTGAGAGAATCCCATCACCTTGATTCTATTATTGCAAGTGCCATCCGAGTGGTGCTCATTTCTCTCCTCCTTGCGTCGATAATCTGCAATGCTGAGGGTCGTAGCCTCTAATAGCTCTCTCCTCATTTAATTTCTAAGAGCTAATAATTTTCCGCAGTGTATTCCTAATTAATTGTAGCTGTATTAAAGTTCCCTTGGTATTTCTCGATCACTAACTACAAGATCATTATAAACGACGATCTCGGTATCAAAAACCGCCTCGAATTGTGTAACATTTAACGATTTTGAAGTTCTTTGGTCGCATATCCAGGGAAGAGGCCTCAATCGGGCGACTATTTGTTTAAGTCCAAGTGGAAGGCAAGAGATTATTCGGCCGATCGTCAATTCGCAAGGACGTAATAAAAAAGCAACTGAGTCTGCCATGGTCCACAATGGTATTCGTTGTCCTTAATGTCTAGAATTTGATGATGTGAGGGACTGACTGCATCAGGACTTCTTAGTCCGCACAATCATAACAATTCAATATCGAATTTCATCTTGAATAATCCTCGACATGGTGTGAAGTGCATTCTGTTTCTTTCTTCTTTTTCCTTGCAAAATCTCCAAATTGAATGATCGTTTAAGTAAATTTTCCGAAGGTACTATCCGAGTTAGAAACATCAGGTGGTCCATATGCCCGCCTGAGTTACTTTAATAATAAATAAAAATATTTAATGTACCGACCTTAGTTGTTACTTCATTACAAATTGAATTAAGTGTGGAGTTATTGAAGCATAAACGAAATAATCACCCAACGAGTCCAAAGTTTCTAATTCTTATAAAAGAAAACTAGTACGCTTTAAGACAAACTTTTAATAAGAACAATGTTTTAGCTCTACAACTTACTGTAAAATTTACTTTGAAAGCGCATAATCCCGTCACAATACTGTTATCGACAGTTGCAGGGCATGCAAGATGCCTTCAGACGCCAAATACAATGTCGTTTCGGATTTGTTGGCGCATTTCCTATTTTCTTTAATCCTTTGCTTTAAAATAACGATCGCATTGAAATTATGAATGGAAAATAGCATTCTAATGAAAAGAGTGATACTGGGATGTTCGTTTAGCTGTATACAGAGATATCACATCATAATCAAAGTAAATATTTTAAGAACTAAAGCACAATCTACCAGAGTTAAGTATTGTCGGTTTTTTTCTTAATTACCATTAATCTAACTCGATACTTTAATCACTAACAAATTACCATTTATTATAAAAAAAGAACATCATATTCTTAACCTAAAAGGAACATGCTTTGTCAGATTACAGAAATAGAGTTATCAGCAACATGCTTCGTCAAAAAGTACAATACTTACTTTCAGCTACAAGCGTCGTCTTAAGTACTTTTTTTTCTTAAATCATTCCCCGTAACTATTTAAAGAGTAAAGTAATTTATTTTGTTTCCATGCACAAATTTTGAATAACAGGTAATTTACAGGATATATTATATTGGATACTGAATTTCTTTTCTCGCAGTATGTCTCGCAAGCTGTGAACCGTTCGACTGTAGTAACGTGGCCAGCACCCACGGACGCTCCCGCCGACAAGAACCCAGCCCCCGGCGTGTGTCTGCCGGTCATCGTGAGCTTCTGCCACCAGCACCGGATATCTTACAACTTCACCGTATTCCCTAATTACATCGGACATTTCGGGCAGAGGGACGCACAACAGGTATTTCCATAAGATATTTGTTTGTATTTGCTTATTTGGGAAGTCCGATAAGGCTTAAAATTTACCAGTGGTAGGGCGTCTTCTTAGTCTGCTCTAGTAGGTACCAATATTCTACTTCTGCCGTGAAGCATTAACTATAAAACCGAGATTTAAAGGCACGTCTCTAATCACATCATCCCTGCTTTGTTAGGCAGGGAGGTTACGGCCGGGCAGAGATCCCTCCGGGATCCCTCCCACGAGGTCTGGACCGCACCCCCGTAAGGGAACGCGAGGACCCGATGACATCTCTCAAGGGGGCAGCATTTACGTTATCGATGAATAAGGGGTCCGGTAACAATTTAATGTCAAGTGGGCCGTAAAAAAAAAGCCTAGGTAATGATTGAAGGCAATTCCGAAAACTAATATATCTACCCAATTGTAATGTAATTAAAAATGTATACTCCACTAAGCTTTTGGATTTAAAAAAAAAAAAAAAAACAAGAAGCTTAGTGGGGAATACATTTTATATTAACAAGTTCCTTGAAGAAAATTTAAATAAATCGCGCGAGATTTATAAATTACATACCCTAGCCTGCAAGACCGTTTCTTCTGCGAAGCAGTCGTTCATTTTGAAGAGTGCTTTTATAAAAAGCTTCGGCTTAGAGAGGTTAGTCCAACGATTTTTCGCTTTTCTAAGACATGTCTCATAATACCATAAATTTACGACAATCGGCGAACACATGTGGCGACAATTGCAGTGGGATGGTTTCAATACTGCTTCGTAGCAAAAATAGGCTGGGTGGTAGTACTTAGCGCGGAATCTCTCTACATTGCCCGGGTTCTATCTCGGGCGGAGATCGGGCGTTGGCTGAGATTGCAGAGGAGTCGTTAAGTGGGTGGGATTTTATCAACTTTGGCAGCTGTGTCCCACATCCTTGTCACACAGTCCTTGACGCATCCCTAGGCGTTGGAGCCTCGAAGGAGGTTCAGCTCCAGCTCAAAAAAGGTGGCAGTAGAAACTCATGCCGGTTGAACGTTTTTGATTGCGATCAAAACAGCGAGTGCTTTAAAGTGTCATGAAATTTCATAAACACTGACTATGAATAATAAAAATAAATCATATACGTGAGGTATTACACTATTTTACTTGCTTCGTCCGCCTTGAATCTTTAGCAGTCGATTCTAAGAGGCTCGTTAAAAAGCCTTTAACAGATTTCGGTTCTAGCTTTAATTACTGAAGGTTATAGTTATAGCTATACCTAACAGCTCGGTACCATTACGAAGTAAAAAAAAATCTTTTTAACCGATTTAAAAAACGAGAAAGCTATCAATTCGACTGATTTTTAACTCTGTTCTCTCTAAAACTGTTTTCTAGGTGAACTGATTTTGATGATCCTTTTTTTATTTGAAAGCTGATGCTTCTGATGTGATTCTATTTAATTATGACCTGACCAGTAGTTTTTTAGTTAATAATCCATATTAAATTGACGTGGACTACACTGATAATATTTTATTCGCTAAAAGTCGTTTTTGTTTTTTGTTAGAATTTCTTATTACATTATTTCTGATTTTGTGATGCGCTAAATAAGATGAACATTTATGCTCATGTTTCAAGGCAGAGTTATATGCATTGAGGTGTCTATGGGTCTGTGCAACCATTAAAACATAATATCAAGCCTGGTTTACCTCTTGTCGTAAAAATATGTTCACCGATGCCTCGTTGAGCACTCGTATCTAATAATGTCATAGACGCAACAACACAAGTGACTTGAAAATGTACAGATCAAAATACTTCCAAATCAATTAATTTATATTCCGACAGAGGGACGCGGACGGGAGTAATCCCCAAGCTGAATGCTCGATCACGCCTCGTATTTCGTCATAAAGTAATTAATATCATTATTGATGGATTCCCGCATAGTTAAATATTTTCAAAGATTAGAATTGATGCTGGAATATTTTAAGTTTTATTAGGAAGTAAACCTTTGAGAAGTGATACCAATACAGGGCGGTAGTACCAAACCATTCTAGCCCACAATACTCTTCTTCGACCCGTGTCCACCCAATGCTGAGTGTAGGGACTCTTCATTTGCCCTCCATTCTTTACGGTCTCTTGCCTTTCATATCCAGTCCCTACTAGCTATTTGACCAGTTCGTCGATCCACCTCATTGGTTATCTGTCTGTGTTACGTCAATATATATTGCCCACAATACGCTCCACAACAATTCCAACAGGCCTTTTTAAGAAAGCGATAGCTTGCAGACATGGTTTGGTAACAGCTCAAAAATACCTAAAGAAGTTTTACTGGTGGTAAGTGTGTGTCGTGAGTCCGCACAGGTAGATGCCACCACCCTGATTATATCTGCCGTGAAGCAGGATTTCGTTTTGAAGAGTGGGGCAGCCGTTAGCACTGTAAAAATTGAGACCTTAGAACTCATGTCTCATAGTGGGTGGCGGCATTAACGTTATAGATGTCTATGGACTCCGGTAATCACAGTACGTTGGTCGTGAGCTCTTCCCCCTATCAAAGCCATAAAAAAAGTTAAATACTTGATTACCTTTGAAACGTTTTCAAATGTCATTAACAAAAGTTACAGGCCGAAACGGTTTAATCGGCGCTTTCTATTGACAACATCAATAAACATTAGGCGTAAGCTCTGCGCGACCACTATCAATCATTGTCAAGCGTACAATAGAAGCGACGGGGTGCCGACATTAAATACAGTAAGCTAGAAATCACGGTGAGCCTTGGTAGAACAAAGCACGTAGGTGCGTGCTAACTTGCGCCGAAATATTGGGTTATTGAAAAGATTATTTAAAATCGAATCAGTTTTTTTGAGCTCATATAGTGCAAGTGTGAGACACCGGGTGCATTCGTAGCAAACGATGCGAATATTCCGATATTCATATCTCGCAGTGTGCCTACGACCACAAACTATTTAATCAACGATATGACCACCGCATCCTTCCCATAGCTCCAGTAAAAACCTTCAATGTGAGTCATTGGAGCATGGGCGTTCTTCTAGTATATCAGCATACTGCGACTGACATTTACTGAAGGTACACCATCAACCCCCGTTTTTCTGCCACGAAGAGCTGCTGCCAACTGCCAATATGCCACCATGGCTGGTCAATGAGTGACCTTTCTAATGTCAAAGATAGCTTTATAGTATGCTTAGAGCTTAACAGCATGCCGAAATGTAGTCACGTGACCTCTCACTGGCTTGGGTCACGTGGTCGCTCGTTGGCTGGGTTTTTACCTTGTTCATGGTACGAAATAGCAGGTCAGTTCAAATTCCGATGAAATTTGGTCTGCTATAAGACGTTACGGTAGAGCCGCATTTCTGTTGCTACGTGGAGAGTTTCAAACTCACATGTTTTTACAATAGTTAATAAGTTATAAGTTATAAGTAAGCCTTTACACAGCATTTGAGACTTCGATCATACGTAAATTCATTAAGAGTCAATTCCATTCACAGCTTCCGAATTGTTCAGTAAACTAAACTTCTACTAACATTGAACGGCTTCAGCGCTTCAAGGAAATGCAATGACCATATGTTGAATGACCAAACTTAATTTAACTATCGTTTCAAGTCGACGTGAAATCGGACGACGAAGTTTGGGCAGTTTGCGAAGTCTCGCGGAGCCCAAATGTACATTTGCGTTTTGAGAAACTTTGAATTATTGTGTGGCTATTCATCGGAGTATTAAAAGTGTAGCGAGTAGGCAAGTACTTGCATACGACTAAACGCTCCACATCGGATGACGCTTATGTCATCTCACCTGACGTTTTGTACCGGCCAGTATTATTGTTAATTAGGTTTTGTAAAGTGCCTGTTGTGATTATTTTCATTCGGCCCACAGAGTTTCTCGCCGGATCTTCCCAGTAAGTCGCGTTTCCGATCCAGTGGTAGATTCTGCGAAGCACTGCTCTTACTAGGGCTATTGTTAGCAATTCACCAGGTTAAAGCCCCGTGAGCTCACCTACTTGGTCGGTTAATTAAGCTGGCATAGCCCCTTGAAATTACCAGCATAGCCATTGTTTATCTTCCGTGCATTGCTTCATGTCAGATTTGTTTTGTGTATTATACAAAACAGTAAACTGTAAGTGGCTGAAGGCCTAGTAGAAACAGCCACTTCCTAAGTAAGGGAGTAAGGCAGTTTAAAGTTAATTGGCACTTAGGAATGTCAGTAAATTTAGAAGAATTTGTTTTGTTGATTTTTTTGTGAATGACTCTTTTCGCCACCCGTTGCGGAGCCAATTTAACATTCACTGTTATTGTTGTAGCTTAATTTAACTAAATTTACAATATATTTCATTTAATAGAAATTTGGCAGTTTTTTTGTGTTTTTTCATCTAAACTTATTGCGTCATTAATGATCGTTGCCAACCTTCGTTCACCATTTATCAGTGCCCAAAACGTGAATACAGCCTTAAGCTTTAGCCTTTAAAGGGAAATATTAATCGCAGCCCTAATATGTTGTAAATAATAATATATGGTACCTTCGCAACAGAAACCGGCAAGACTGTTGCGGGAACACAGCCTGCCATCTCAGTTATCAAAGCAATTAGGAATTCTTAAGCTCTCATTTTCACGGTAGGCAACGATTTGGCTCTGCCCCTGGCATTGCTGAAGTTCATGAGCGACGGTAACCACTCACCATCAGGCCGTATGCTCGTCTGCCTACAAGGGCAAAAAAAAAATTATCAATATACGATAGCTTTTGGATAAAACCAGACTAAATATTACTATTTAAACTACACTACGGGCCTAAAGTAGGTCCACGATCGATGCGTAGAACCGAAGATCGGGTTCAGTGGCGAGCTTTGGGGGAGGCCTATGTCCAGCGGTGGACTGCCGCAGGCTGATGATGATGAGGTCCACGAATACTTGATAATTACATTTAGAATACGTTTGACCTACTTTTTATTCCAGCCGGCTTTAGCTTTGAGTTACATTAGAGCAGTAGACACGAGCGAGAAAGAGAAGATGACTAATGAAAGGAATCTGATATTGGGGGCGACCTAAGGAACTGCCGTGGTCACCAAGCTCATACCTCATCTTTGGTTAATAGCCAGACATTGTATAAGCAGAATTATATGGTATATTTTTCTTTCAGGATCTGGAGATCTATGATGCGGTAGTCGACGTGCGTTGTTACGAGTTGACAGCTCTGTTTCTGTGTTCGCTCTTTGTACCTAAATGCGGTCCGCTTGGACACATGGTGCGGCCTTGTAGAAGCTTATGTCAAGGTGAGCTGAAATAAGTTTGGTATTGGCGGTTTATTTTCGTTTTTTTTTTGGATTCGTACGATTTGTGGGCTTATTTAAAAAAAAATTCGTTATCGCATTACAGTTGTCACTTCGACCACATGTCTAAGGTTAAGTGGCGGCATGGTTAATGTGGTCAGCTACCACTGGGCAGTGAGTTTGTGCCACTTTGGCAACACATCAACTTAGTATAAAATGGGCAGCAGCCCATCAAGCTGCTATTGAAAATGAACCGTATAATGTTGAAAATAAGATGCATATTTTAAACCGTGCAGATATGTATTTGTGTTGAGTATTTTATTCGATTAAACTGACTTTACTATAAAAATACTTATTTCATTATTATTTTTATTCCTACCTTGAAAGATTTAGGGCGCTTCTTAGTGGCTTTTATCTAAATCGATTTCGTTAAGTTTTTCTCAACAGGTACCTAGTGGGTGTTAGCAGTGGTTCATTGACACTGGTAACCACATAACGTAAGGCAGACTCTGTGCTCGCTAATAATTACAACAAAATAGCGGTTACCAAAAATACTATTAGAAAACGTTCCACGTGGGAAAAGCTCAAAAAATTTTTTTGTTTAACGATCTTATAGGGAGTTGCAGTAGCAGATTTTTGTTTTAACTTTTTTATACCAACACACGTAATTGATATTGTAAAAATAATTATAATATTTGATAAATCAGAAACGATGCGACGCTGCGGATTCTTCCTTGAAGTATTCGGGCTTTCGATGCCTGATTACCTCCAGTGCGAGATATTCCCGGAGTCGACCGACACTGATGTCTGCCTTGGGAACAGAGAGGTCAAGGAGGCTAGATTCCGTGCTGCTAAGCCAGGTAACAGAATATGGGCTTATTACTGTAAAGTTTATTAGTGAATTATCCTGCTGGTCCTGTTACTAATAACAAGGTGTGGTCTAAACCCGTAATATCACTTTGGCTATCTTTGTCGCGAAACATTGACAATATGGTCCACAGAATACTAAAAACTTCAGTTAGGCATATTTCAGAAATGTTATACTAGTCTAGAAATGTCATCATGTCATGGGACTAATGGTCCCGCAGTAGTCGAAATTCGACTATAATATGTATTTATAATAAGTTTGAACATTATTATGGTTTTATTGTAAAAGACTATTATTATACTTCTACAATCACAGATTTCGTACAGACTACACTATCGACAAATAATATTAAGGACAAACAATATTAATCTATTCTCAATTTAACCGCAGACTTTAGACAATAACAAAAGTTTGACAATAAACAAAAGAGTATGAATGCGTATGTGTGTCAAATGCACGGTAGGGTGTGTAATGTTTTTCTTTGTGATTTAATATATTTATGCATAATAAATAAATAAAAGAAATTCTGCACTCCCTCTCTACATTCTCTATAGGGAGAAATTTCATAATCCTCCGTCCGCGCAATTTCCGTAAAAAGGGGGTACAAAGTTTTTGCTTCACTTATTAATATATAGATTTCTTAGCAAATTCTCAAAAGTGGAATAATGAAATTGTAGGTATACAATAAAGGGATGATCTTCCACCGAGAGGGTGATATTTCTCGGTAGACCGACGGTCCGAATGTTATTGTTCGGAACTTGTATATAATATATAAGTATACAAGCTTATCTGTGTGAAAATGTCGTAAGCGAGATTCCCCTTCCGTGCGTCGTGTTCCTCAGTGCTGAGGATCGTGACCTTTACGGAATGCATACGTAAAGGCTTTCTTGGGATAATTGCTAGTGTTAGTTAGTTCCGCGTCCTTCCACAGCAGAATTTCAGAGGCGATTTAGTTCCTCTGGGCCACTGAAGCCCTAGTTCGGGTTAGTTGACCGCCGCCCGTTGCTCGGTGTTATATTTTTACGGCCGGGTAGGTGGCAATCCGACGCCAACCCTCCTCTTTTCTCATCCGGGCTTGGGACCGCCAATGGCAAAGTTAATCGAGAAAGCGAGATCCAGGCATCTGTCAAATAAGAGGTTGGGGTAAAGGTTTCTTCGCATTTTTTAAGAAATTCACAACATATTTTAATATAGTTTATGTACATTTAACTAAAGTATGTAGGTACCATTTTGTTCGATAACTTTTTGCCATCTTGTAAATAGACATATTGCGGCTTCTCATCAAAATACCGCGTCGTGAGGTACCCAAATATAGAGCTTTTTTGTGTACCCGGTTTTTTTTTCCAAATGCGCCAAAATTGTTTTGTGGTCGATTCCCAGTTCTCCAGCTACGTCGTAACTACTGATACACCGATTTTGGTCCACTTTTTCAAAAATGGCATCCATTTTATCCGTAATAGGTCGACCAGAGCGACGTGCATCTTTGACATCAAAACTTCCGGACTGAAAACGCTTAAACCAAATTTGTGCTACTCTCACAGACACTGCACTAGGTCCATAAACATCGCAAATTTTTTTTGCACCTTGCGAAAAATAAATAAAAGTCACACATTTTCCTAATTTGAATTTGGAATTATCTTCTTTAAAATTTAAACTTTTAATGATACCATAACCAGCCAGTTACAAATAATATAGCCAAAGAGATTTTATTACAAGTTCATACATACTATAATGCTAAAAGAGTTTTCCCCCAACCTATTATCGTCTGTTCTGTGATGGCTGCCGCCACAAAATAATAAAAATACAAAACCTTACATACCGGTTGCGGTCCAGTGTGCGTGTCCGGCTTCCAATGCGACGTGAAGCGCTGCATCCCGCACGACTGGCGCTGCGACGGGCACGTGGACTGCGCCGACCGCTCCGACGAGCTCAACTGCCGCGTGTGCAAGCGCAGCGGCGACGTGCACTGCGGGAACCAGCGCTGCATCTCGCAGGCGCACATGTGCGACGGGAAGGTCGACTGCCCCTGGGGACAGGACGAGAGGAACTGCCGTAAGCCACGATACTCTAGCCCACTGAGTTTCTCGCCGGATTTTCTCAGTGGGTCGCGTTTCCGATCCGGTGGTAGATTCTGCGAAGCACGGCTCTTATTAGGGTTAGTGCTAGCAACGGCATCAGGTTTTTTTTTATTGCTTAGATGGGTGGACGAACTCACAGCCCACCTGGTGTTAAGTGGTTACTGGAGCCCATAGACATCTACAACGTAAATGCCGCCACCCACCTTGTGATGTAAATTCTAAGGTTTCAGTAAAGTTACGTCTGCCTCGTCCTTCAAATAGAAATGCATTACTGCTTCACGGCAGAAATAGACATGGATCCGTGCGGACTCACAAGAGGTCTCACAATAAGAATAGTTTTACCATAAACAAATAGTATGCACGCGTGTGTGTGTATCAAATACGTAGTGTGTGTAATGTTTTTATTTATTGATTTAATGTATTTTTTATGCATAATTTAATAAAAACTTTAACATTCTGCACTGCTTGCTGCGCTTCTCTATATTCTCTATAAGTGTGGGAAATTTCATACTCTTCCATCCACGAAATCTTCTTAAAAAGGGTACAAAGTTTTTGCTTCACGTATTAATGTATAGATATAGGCCAGTGTGTTACTACTAGGAACTTACTAGCAAGCAAGCGTTTTACTCGCGTATCCCTCGTATCTAACAAGAACTTAAATTATAGTGTAGAAGCTGAGACCTTAGAACTCATACCTCAAGGTGGGTAGCGGCATTTACGTTGTAGATATCAAGGGCTCCGGTAACCACTTAACATCAAATGGGCCGTGAGCTCGTACTNCTCTATATTCTCTATAAGTGTGGGAAATTTCATACTCTTCCATCCACGAAATCTTCTTAAAAAGGGTACAAAGTTTTTGCTTCACGTATTAATGTATAGATATAGGCCAGTGTGTTACTACTAGGAACTTACTAGCAAGCAAGCGTTTTACTCGCGTATCCCTCGTATCTAACAAGAACTTAAATTATAGTGTAGAAGCTGAGACCTTAGAACTCATACCTCAAGGTGGGTAGCGGCATTTACGTTGTAGATATCAAGGGCTCCGGTAACCACTTAACATCAAATGGGCCGTGAGCTCGTACTGCCAACTAAGCAATTAAAAAAAAAAACATTTTGATAGAATGCTCAATCTATTAAAGGGCCGATTGTCAATAAACTGTACATATATGACAAGTGAGGTCTATTTTGCACAACAACAGCTCTGTTAGATAATTATAATTAATTTAGTAATCTCGAAATCACATTGATTCTACTTGACTTCATTCGTTCCGTTTGAGAAATCATCACGGAAGCACGCGAGAATTGCTCCTTCAATCGATTGTACTGTAATATTAATAGATAGTGTTAAGTAACTAATTATTTCAAATATAACGCTAAAGTATTCGGAATATTTTGCAATTTAAATAAAATTTTAAACATCCGGAATCGACTCGTAGCTTATAAGTGACGTTAGGTTCTTGTTCGGTTTTGGAAAATTTGAAATTGATCCCATATTACCACTCTAAGCTAAAAAGGGATTTGGTATCTAATGATTTTTCCTAGACTTCCGTAAACGTACAAGCTAGAATTTTTCTTTATTGGCCTTGTAGGCAGAGGAGCATAGGGCCCACCTGATGGTGAGTGGTTACCGTCGCCCACGGACCTCAGCAATGCCAGGGGCAGAGCCAAGCCACTACCTACAAAATGCCTCCCCAGATAAGAGCGCTACTCTTGAGCGATAGAAACAAAACAATAACATTATTTTGGTTTAAACTAATGTCCAATACGTAATTATAAGTGTTTACTTTAGAAACTTAATTAGACACTAAAGTTGGCCAAAAAGATTTAGTTTGCAGAGAGGTCAAAGGTTCAGTTCTTTAATTATATTGAATGATGTGATATTCAATGAAACGTTTTCGAACTATTTTCCAGTTGTTGATAAATATACATACCCGATCCTGTGAACCGAATGGTAAACAGTCTACGTCGCCCTAAACACGTCATTACGGATCCTTCCGATCTATTAACGGTGCTTTTAGGTACCTCAAGCACCGATCACCGTTCTCGCCAAACCCGTCGCTTGCGACGAAGGGCTCGACGAGCAAATTAATCCATAGACACAACCAACTGAGTTTCTCGCCGATCTTCTCAGTGTGTCGCGTTTCCGATCCGGTGGTAGATTCTGTGAAGCACGGCTCTTGCTAGGGCCAGTTTTAGCAACACTCCCGGCTTGAGCCCCGTGAGCTCATCTACTCGTCCGGTTACGCTGACATAGCCTATCAAGGATGTCAGCTTAGGTAGGAAAAAAAAGGTTTATAAATAATGTCTCATCCAGTGAGGTTGAGCGACGCAACCGGAGACGTGGGGCGGGGGGAGCTGCAAGTGTACCGGGCCGCCAACCACTCGTGGTTCCCCGCCTGCATCAGCGCGCTGGACGACACCACGGCACTCAAACTGTGCTCCATGCTCGGATACTCGTGAGTTTTCTTTATTGTCGGCATACAATAATAATAATTAATATCTAAGTACAAATTACGCACTGTCATCCGGCCGGCTCAAATTTAGGATTCCCTTCAAGGCTCACGGTATGAGCTGGCCGAATAGAGTGATTGGGCGAATGGTGAAGGTATTTACGCGCCTATTTGGGAGTGGGCTGCTCGAAGTGGTATTTGGGGGCGACCCCTTTTGAAGAGCACTGCTGTGCTTTTCGTGGGGTTGATGTCAATGCGCCACTTCCGGAACCACTGTCCATAGTGGCTACTGCGATCTGGAGTCGCCGATGCAATAACGACTTCTTCCTACACAAGTAGTAGATAGCCATTGGCGAAGACGCCAGATGGGTCTCCGGAGACCGGGGAATATCGTTGATATACAAACTTAACAATAGCGGGGAGAGCGCGGAGCCTTGCGGGACTCCGGCAGTCAGTTGACGGGGACGGGAGCGAGTTCCCTCTACTCAATATCGAAACGAACGGTTCAACAAGAAGTCTCGTATGATGAGCACGAGTCTGTCTGGCACTCCCATGTTGTACAGTTTGTAGATCAAACCGTTGTACCAGACTTTGTCGAACGCCTACGCGATAGTTTTTTCCCGGTAATGAAATCCCAGAGGCGCTTACGAAGGAGGCGTTCGAATAGTTTGCCAATCGCTGGGAGGAGACTAATCTTTCGGTGACCAACTGCCAAGATTATGTACTTTTATCTTTTATAGATGGGTGAATAGAAGTTCGTCGATAGCCTTAGGAGGAGCCACGACCCCCAACCCCCGCGGGGTGGGGGCGCGGGCCGGCAGGGTGCACGTGGCGGGGGCGGCGCTCTCCTATCACGCTTTCTTGAGGAGTGAAGGCGGCTTGCTTAGAGAGCTGAAGGAGTGCAGGCATTACTCTAACAGAGTGAATCTTGTCTGCAATAATTACGGTAAGTGATTCTAAAAATAGAATTAAATAGGAGCAAATATATAAATTCTAATATTCAATGTTGCAAAAAGAACTTTTAGGGTTGTGCTAAATTTTTTTTATTTATTGCTTAGGTAGGTGGACAAGCTCACAGCCCGCCTGGTGTTAAGTGGTTACTGGAGCCCATAGACATCTACAGCGTAAACGCGCCACCAACCTTGAGATATAAGTTCCAAGGTCTCAGTATAGTTACAACGGCTGCCCCGTCCTTCAAACCTAAACTCATTACTGCTTTACAGCAGAAATAGGCAGGGTGGTGGTACCTAACCGTGCGGAATCGCAAGAGCTCCTACCACCTGTAAAAGTGAACAGCATGAAAATCGGTTAATTTGTCGATTGAAAGGTTTAATACAGGCCAAATAATTGTTTTCCGTTGCTGTTCAAGACCGTTATTTTGCTTTACTATTGATTGTTTCTATACGACAATGCGGGAACGGTGCACATCCCTGAATCGCCGGATCCGGGTCAGCCCTAACAGCATCCTGAAGGCATTAACAGACCGTTTTGACTGTCCATACTTGACATTTGTACCATGGTTCACTTGCGAACTATAATAAATAATAATAATAATAATGGTTGATTGTAAATAAGTATCAGTTGGATGGAATATTTAAATGTTTGCAACTGATAATTATTTTTAATCCATACATATAAATAAAATTGGAGTGTCTGTTTGTAATATTGAAATAAGCTCTTTTTACTACATGCAGATAAATATATATACGGTACATACACCAAAATAACATTTTTTGCAATTTTTGTCTGTCTGTCTGTTTGTTCCGGCTAATCTCTGGAACGGCGGGACCGATTTTGATAAGACTTTCACTGATTGGTAGCTGATGATATAAGGAGTAACTTAGGCGACTTTTTTAGACTAGCTTCGTCCCGCGGCGTCACACGCGGTACGACAATAACCGCGGGTAACATCGCGGGACTCAGCTATCAATAATAAAATTTTATGTTTCCGAAGCGAAGCGAGGGCGGGTCGCTAGTCATAATAATATATATTTGTTTTGGTAATTTTAAATAATATTATATATTTCAATTATTCTATGTACACATGTGAACTTGTTTCTGAATTTATTTTTAGTACTTAGATGAGTGGACGAGCTCACTTCCCACTTGTTGTTAAGTGGTTACTGGAGCTCATAGACATCTACAACGTAAATGCGCCACCCACCTTGAGATATACGTTCTAAGGTCTCAAGTATAGTTAATTAAAAAAAATCATTTTCATTCATTCATTCATTACTTGACCAGTACAATTTCGATGGTGAATAGAGATTAATATATGTGTATAAGCACGCATTCCGGCAACAGTTTCATTAAAATATCCACCTTCAAAATTACGTAAGTATTTTTCATCGTCAGTTCAGCGCGGAGCCAATTTCCTGCATACCTCACTCTCGTCGGGTACGAATGACCCCTGTGAAATTAAAGCCCATACAATCTGAATATTTGCGAGACACGTACTGCGGTTTGCCGGCGGCGGAGGGCCGTCGCGGCTTTCTGCTGCTCGTCTTTTTGACCTTTGAAATCGTTTACTCGCAACGTTTGCAGGAATTCCTTCGGGATTCCTGACGGTGGAAATTTTCCACTTACTTTGCATTAAATTAGGATGCCCATTGAGGTCTACAAGTTGTTATTTTGATGGTCTAAACGAAAAATCTTAGCTTGGGACGTCTGTGTGTTTAGTGCGAGTTTTTTAACGTTCTCGATAGCGTAAAAGTTAACTCTAATTTGTATGCAGTTGGAACAGCGCCCCTAGCGGCAAACGTAAGCAAACATTCCAAGCGTATACAAATTTGACTTAACTTTTACGCTATCGAGAACGTTAAAAAGCTCACACTAAGCACACTGAAAGCGTAGGTTATATTAAAAAAACAGCCACTATTTTTTTTGGTCAGTTTTTTTTGGGTTCCAATAGGCCAACTAGTTCAAAGCCAATAAGAGTTCATAGTATCTTAAATGTTGCTACTCGCCGTGGCTGCTGTGGACAGGATGCACTTACCCCGGCGCACTCATTATACGTAGCAGTAACGTACCAGTACCTGCCAGTAACGGAAAACAAGCAACAAGCATTCACAGGGTTTTATTAATAAAAAACAAACTTTTATTGTCTATACTAATCTATAGTATAATATTATAAAGAGGAAAGATTTGTTTGAAACTACTGGACCGATTTGAAAATTGTCCCTGATGAACATAGGCTACTTTTTTTTTTTTTTTTTTTTTTTTTTCTTGTGTGTTTTAATGTTTCCGAAGCGAGGGCGGGTCGCTAGTCGTACATAAATTGGTAATTGTTTAACATTAAGCCTTGTCGGCTGGATTTGAAGCATTCGAATACATCGCGAGTAGAACCCATTAGGCTAAGATGACTCTAAATATTCTTCTTCAAACGAGGCTAGTGAAGAATACTTAACAGCGGGCTGCAGGTTGGCTCTGCCTCTGGAATTGCTGAAGTCCATGGGCGACGGTAACCTCTCATCACCAGGTGGGCCGTATGCTCGTCTGCCTACACGGGCCATATAATTATATACATGTATATACAGGTTGTAGTAATACAGGTCTTTGAACCTAGTACAGACTTCAGCTGTTTCAAAGGCTTACAAAATAAATTATAAGGTTAATTTCCATTTGTATTTGTACCTTTAAGATAGAAATAAATTATTATTATTATTATTATTATTATTATATTTATATCGTCTCATTCTTCAAGCCGGAACGTTTGATGGCATCGGTGATAGACAACGGTGGCACCGACCGGTCCGATTCAAATATCTTAAATCAATAGTGATCAAACTAAGTTGTGGGAATATATTTCTTGCAATTTGCGAACATTGGTCAAGTACCTACTAAGCTACTGGTGAAATTACTTATTGAACTGTGAATCACTATAGACGTATGTAGTCCTGTTATTTTAAAAGTAACTATACTGAGACCTTAGAACTCATGTCTCAAGGTGGGTGGCGCATTTACGTTATAGATGTCTATGGGCTCCAGTAACCACTTAACACCAGGTGGGCTGTGAGCTCGTCCACCCATCTAAGCAATAAAAAAAAAAAGTAATGTTTTTGTGATTTAGTCAAGAAATTTTACGGTAATTTTTCGTTTTATCAAATCAGATCAACGTTATTGGGAATGAAACAAAATATTCACATTTTAAACGAAGAAAAAAAATCGTCTCCTTTCAAAGTTCTTTATGAAATTAATTTGTATTCTTTTCCTCTCGTTTCTTGTATCAAAATAGCTTGATTTTCAATTTGATCTACCGACTTTTTATACGTTACATTTTAGATTTAATGTTTTAATTTTATTTATACTGTGTGAAGGATTTGATGATGGCAGACATCGATATATTACCACTAGATAACACATCACATACAAAAACCAAACACAAAAATGGCATCGACTAACTGATCTGACTACACCATCAAGTGGAGAAAAACGATGCATAATATAATAATTGTAACCTAAACTATGCCTTTTCCCCAAGTAATAAAGTGCAGTTTAGATTATTTTAACATTCACTTACGACCTTTCGCCATGAATGACAGAAAAAGATAGCTTTTTACAATAACTTTTATTCAAAATTCAACCTTATCTCCTCAAAAATAAAGAAAAAATTTACACGCATAGCATTTTACTTACGCCCTTTTAAACTTACGACATTAAGACTTTACTGCTCCGAACAGAGTATTACGGAGTCGCACTTTATACTTTTTTGTAAGAATATTTCGAGTAATTTATTTTGTATTATGTTTTTTTAATTCATATTCATTCAATTTTTTCAACTTAATTCCTTATGATTAACAACAAATATTGTATAACTATAGATAATTATACCTGCGTTAGCTATATTGTACCTTGCACATCGGTGGGGAAAATGGATAAGAGCTTTTTAAATCACAACAACATAATCCCCATCAAATTGTTTTATTTATTAAATACATGTCAGATTCGGTAAAATTGTCTGCACAAACCACACTGGAGCAATTAGGTTTGAAATCATTGTCGCTTCTTTTTTCTTTTATTACTCTGTTATTAAATCTGTAAAAATGTAAAAACAAATTCCAGTTTACAGATTTCACTTCGCCGTCCGTTGTACAGACGTCTGTTGCATTCGTATGTGATCTAGCGATACACGGGGTGTTCGAATCCCAGGCGGGTACCAATTTTTCTAATGAAATACGTACTTAACAAATGTTCACAATTGACTTCCACGGTGAACGAATAACATCGTGTAATAAAAATGAAACCCGCAAAATAATTTGCGTAATTACTGGTTGTAGGACCTCTTGTGAGTCCGCACGAGTAGGTACCACCACCCCACCTATTTCTGCCGTGAAGCAGTAATGCGTTTCGGTTTGAAGGGTGGGGCAGCCGTTGTAACTATACTTGAGACCTTAGAAGTTATATCTCAAGGTGGGTGGAGCAAATGCGCAAATGGCAGCGTAAATACGCTGTAGATGTCTATGGGCTCCAGTATAACCACTTAATTCCAGGTGGGCTGTGAGCTCGTCCACCCATCTAAGCAATAAAAAATAATAAAAAAATAAAAAAATATGTGACTCCACTACACTTGTTCTGAAATAGCCCTATTTCATCCTTGTCTTGCATGTAACTGTTATTATGTGTGCGAAAGAAATAGCTGCGAAGCAAAATAATAGGATTTAATTTCTAGAAGTACTAATTTGGTAAGAATAACTGATTTATTTCAAATATTTATCACTATCTGTTAATAAAAATTATAAAACTTACCAAAAATACTAAATTTCATGTTGTTTTCTCTTTATAAGCGTGTTTTTTACATTTTTTTACAGCGCATTTTAGGATCGTTCCACTCGACGGTCGGCGTGACACTGACGGCAAAACAGTGCTTAATATGAATCTAAGCACTGTTTTGTTTGGTTACTTTTGACGCCTTTACGCGGGATCTAGTGGTAATATATCGATGATGGC